GACAGGCACTTGCGAAAGTGCCATCTGCTTCTGTTGTAGACTGTAAGAGAGAGACTGGTAGATGACAAAGGATGAACTAAAAACACTGACGGTACACGTGTATCTCACCACTGATACCATTGCAAGTCTCCTCAACAAAAACATGTTAGACAAATTTTCTTTGAAATTGCTGACCCTTGGGAAAAACCGGGTGAAACAGGGCATGGGAAGAGTGAAGAGGTGGGTTTGGGTGGGTTTCCAGGTAACGAGACATCAGAAGAGGGGCTTGACTTCAGCATTAACGAAGATTAGACACCACCTTGTGGCCAGAAGTAGAAAAATTTAGAATTGAGCTGGGAATCAAATATAAAATCACATTCCCTAAGCTACTTGTACTAGTCCAGTGAGAACCTCGAATATGTCTCTGTTCTAATATGTGCTCCTTACAGCCACAATTCCTGATGCACACACATTTCAAAGCTCCCTGATATTATCTGTGCAATGAGTCATCACTTCCACTCCCACCTGTTCAGATTTGCTCATTACAAACACTGGGGGGGAGGGGGGTGTTCATCTGTGCAGATGAGGACACTACAAATGTTGCCATGAGAATTAAGAGCAGTACAATTTCATTGTGTAACATCTCAGGGGCAAAGCAATAGCCATCATCCAGCAACTTGCCTATATGAAGTCATCTGAGGTTGGGACAGTTCAGAACATTATGATGAATAGAATTCCTTTTTAGAATGCTAAACAAATTGAGCAGAATATGGTGATGACTCCTTTGCATTTTATAAATTGTTATATTAGATTTCATTTTCATGAATACTTCTGGGTCAAATAAGGACTTCTGATCTTTTTTTTTTTTTTTTTTTTTTTTTTTTCTCCCAGCATATGGGGCTGGAGAGACGGCTCTGTTGTTAGGAGCATTTGTTCATGCAGAAGACCCAGGTGACTCCCAGCGTCTACATGGTGGCTCAGAAACATCTATAACTCCAGTTTTAGGGAACCCAACTTTCTCTTCTAATTTCTTAGGGTACCAGGTACACAAGTGGTGTACATATATACATGCAGGCAAAATACTCAGCCACATAAAATAAATATATCAAAATTATGTATTTTTAGTCAATATATGTGTTAGATACCATTACGATATTTTTGAACAAATAATGTTTTGTGGTTCTCCCCACATCATTTCTCCATCCCACCCCCCAATCCCTTTTCTGTTCTTGTGACCTCCCTACCCTACTCAGGACACATGGGACATGAAGCAATTTTAAAACAATCATTCCCACAGCCACATGTATTTCTCTCAAATCAAATGTTTTTCGAAACAGGTGGTGATGCATGCCTGGAATCCCAGCACTCGGGAATCAAAGGAGGGAGGGTCATGAGTTGGGGGTCAACCTGGGCTACATAAAATAAGAAGAATGTTTGGAACATGGTTTCATCTCAGGCTATACACTGGTGCCCTCAAGGGGAGGGAGGGTTACAGCAATATTTCATCAAATGGCCATGGTCAAAACATGTGTCTTATGTAGTATGTATGTGTATGTGTGACTGTCCACCCAGGCTGAAAGCATCCAAGGGAATAGCATTGCTCTTCAACAAGATGGTGGGCATTCTCGAAAGAAAGAGGGACATGTTAAAATCTTGGAGATGTCCAGTAGATCTGTGACATTTTAATGTGGGGCTCAAGACAAGAGTGTGAGCGCTACAGCCCATGTGAGGACACTGCCTCCAGGAAAAGCAGGTCAGTGTGGGAGAGGATGGAGATACCAGACCTTCTCCAACTAGCTATGACTCACTGGTAACAGTACACCTGCAGCCAGTGAAGAGAACAGAGAGGTCGGGACCAACTGTGAGTGACCTGGGAAAGGGCAGAGAAATAGGAGCCAAGCTAAAGGGAGGGCCAAATGTCCCCCATGCACAGAGGACCAGGAGAGGGCTTTGGAGCACAGTTCCTCTGCTGCCATCTGCTGATCCCTTCAGTGAGGTCCTTCTTCCTCTCAGGAGTGTTTCTCAGCCAGCTCCACAGCCCCACCCCCCAAATCTTCAGAATGTGAACTGTTCCACACCTCAGTCCCTGACATTCAGTTCCAGTCTTCTTTGCCGGCCTCTTAGCCATCCTTCTGGGTAATTTCACGACGGCACCAAACTACTTAGGGTGCCCATCCCCCCCCTCACCCTGTGACTTCTGTCCCATGGCTTTCTCCAAAGACCCTCACTATCACCCCATAACTTAAGGCTCAAACTTCTTGCAAGGGCAATATTATGATTTGAATGTCGAGTGTCAAGTGTTTAAAAACTTGATTTTCAGTTGGTGGCATTCTTGGGAGGTGGCAGCATCTTCGGGAGCTGGAGCATACCTGGAGTGGGGTGGGGGACTACACCAAGGGTTCCAGCTGCCCTCCTTTCTCATCTCTCTGCCCCGCCCATTCCCTTCCTCCCTCTCAGAAGTGAGCAAGCCTCTCCCACACCCTTGCCTTCCCTGCCACGATGGATCACATCCCCCTAAACCATGAGTCAAAACAAATCTTTCCCTCATCTAGAATTGCTTTAGACAGGCATTTTATCACAGTGAAGAGGAGAGGAGGAGGGAGAGGAAGAGGGGTGGGGAGGAGCATGAGGATGGGGAGGAGGAGGAGGAGGAGGAGAAAAAGGGAAAGGAGCAGGGAAGAGAAAACAACCCAGAGGCTAGACCTCAATCCCCAGTACCCACACTGGGTGGCTCACAGCTGCCTGGAACTCCAGCTGCAGGAGAATCCAATGCTCTCTTCTGGACTCCATAGGAACCTGTACTCATTTGTACTCATGCAAATACCCACCCACCCCCACACTCCAAATTGTTTTAAAATTAAAAAGTAACCAGTGCAGGCTAAATGCTTACTACAGCTTACTAGAGACATAACTCCTACAAAGTGATGTGGCAATGTCTCAGGCTTTCTTCTCCCTACCCACACTCACCCCAAGGCTACTTCCTGCATCAGCTGTAGACCAGATAGGACACTTCCTTGGTAATAATCCTCCTCTACTCCCCACTCAAAACCCCACTCAGCTGAGTTTTGTATACAGAATTGGAATGACATTCTCCCAAGATGTTCATCTAACAGAGACCATCCCCCCATTAAGGATCAGCGTGGAAATTTCCCCAGGAAAGTAGTTAGCCCACTAAGTCATATCAGGAGACCTTCACTGACAAAGGGCTTTGGGGGCCAGGAATTGTGGATGTTCTGGAGAGGACCCCCAAGGTGAAAACAAGCGTTATCCCTCTCCACAAATCTTGGCAACACACGGAACACATGCTATAGGCCAGAGTGGAGCACTGCCGGCTCTCAGAAAAACTGAAGTCTAGACCTGTAGAAATTGCTAGTTTCTATGGGGAGTACAGGCTCACTGGAGCAGACTGCAGATGTCCAACCTAACGTCCCTGCATAGGAAAAAAAACGCACCATGAGCACTGGGGAGCCAGGCCCAAGCAGCTTAGCCACATCAGGATGGCTAAGAAGTTCTGTACTACACGTAACTTCCAGAGCAGCCTCACCGCCATCTTGGGGAAAGGGGACTAAAGTGTGTCAATAAGTTAAGTCTGAATCTTGTCTTCTGGTGATAGGGACTGAAGCCAGGATCTCCCGTAAAAGCTAGGCAAGCAGTCTGCCGCTCCACTTAACCCTAGTCCCCCTTAAACTTTAAATTCTTTAAAATTATTTTCCATTGTGTGTATGTGTAGAGGGCGTGTGCAGGTATCCATGGAGGCCAGAGGCGTTTGACTCCCTGAAGCTGGAGTTCACGATGGCTGAAAGCCACCATGGTATCAGGAGCTTGAACCCCAGTCCTCTGCAAGAAATGTCAGTGCTTTAATTGAGCCACACACACACACCCATGCCACTTTTTTCCTTAACTTTTTGAGACACAGTCTTAGTTGCTTAAGGTAACTTTAAACTCGCCCTTTAGTCCAGGCTAGCCTTGAATTTGTCACCTCCTGCCTCCCAGGCAGCTGGGATAACAGGCCTGGCTCTCTTTGTATTCTATGAGGTTGCATGGTCTCTGAGGGTAGGGCATCTTACACTTCGGTCCCACAGCTCCAGCATGAATTCTGTTGGCGGCAGTTACCATATAATTGCTGGCTCAGTTTATCCAGGCAAGCAAGAAGAATGGGTTGAATGAGTAAGTAGATACTGAACCGACCCGCACCCCATACATACCAAAATGCAGCAGCTATAAGACATGAGGTAACTGAGTATAACTCAAGAGTTGACTGTGGACAGACGACAAGGCAGAAAGTTCATTCCCAACACCCTGCCCAGCACCTTTGCCCACCTGGCCTGTGTCCATGGCTGGATTCCAGGCTTAGCCTCCATTCTAGTTTTGTCCCTTTGGTAGAGGCTCAGCAGTCATACAGAGCAGACCAATGGCCTTGACTCTAGGTAGAGTTCAGTTCTCAAAGCAAACATTTTCCCTTCCAGGCTTCTTTATTTGCTCCTCTTGGAAAAGCTCTACTCTTTGGCTTTTGGCTATGACAGTTTGGGAGTGTAGACTCTGGTCAATTGGGGCTTTCTCTGTAAGAGGTTCCCAACTGACTCTCCTTGAAGGTATGTATGTTCAGAAAAAAGTCGAAGTCCTCCAAGTGTTCAAAGCAAGCAGGCAGGGCTAATTGGATGGCTCAGCCATTAGGAGCATTGGCTATTCTTGGACCTACGTTCAAATTCCCAGCACCCACATGGCAGTTTGCAATTGTCTATAACTCCAGTTCCAGGGCACCCGACATCCTCATACAGGTGTGTGTGTGTGTGTGTGTGTGTGTGTGTGTGTGTGTGTGTGTGTGTGTACATATCTAATCAAAACACCAATGCACAGAAATTTTTTAAAAAGGGAGGCCTCCAAATAGCATGGTGTACACAAGCACCCTCTGCTGGCAAGGTGGTGATCTGCATCCAATTGGGCTAGTTCCCAGCCTATTGGTCTCCTCTATGGCCACTCTCCTGCCCCTTCTGTGTTCCCACAAAGAGTCCACAACACTCTCAGGATCAATGCTTTATTTTCTCCAGCTCCAGTGTTACAACTGTAGCAGCACAGCAGACACCCCCACATGGGAATATACTACAGCTCCCCATACTCAGAAGTCACAAGGCAAAAACAGTCTTGACCACAGGCATTTTAAAACATTCAGAAAATAACACTGGACCACTCTTATCCCACACACTGTGGGACTGGCAGCGGCACATCTGTTTTCCACAGACACAATTACCCATAAATAAAGTTAAATAAAACCTTACTAGCATAGCAGTGTGTTGGAGATACAGCCTTGGGAATGACATTTGGAAGATTGTGGCTGTTAAGACATGGGGGGAGGGGCAATTGGCTCACAAGTACACATAAAAGTAGCTATATTTAATCCATTCTTTAAAATATAGTCATGAATTAAGAACATTCCATTTTTAAAAGATCAATGTTTTAGTCTATAATAAATTAACACTTATCTATTAAGAGGGTGACTGCCATGGCCTGAACATAAGAACACACACACACACACACACACACACATACACACACACACACACACACAGAGAGAGAGAGAGAGAGAGAGAGAGAAAGAGAGAGAGAGAGAAAGAGAGAGAGAGAGAGAGCACGCTCAAGTATTAACAGTATACTCAGGTGGCATGGTCCATCCTTGGATGTCACTCCAAAGATGCCAATGACTCTAATAACTTGGTCACTGGTCAGAAGGAAGCATTTTCCTATTTAGAGCTTTGCAATGTCAAAAATCACAATCAACACACAGGCTATAATGTGTACAGGGGTGAGGACAATACCAACTTTGGAGCTAAAGGTGAGAGGGGGGAAATTAACCCCACAGGAATGACAAACACTTTTGTTCAATGCTTCATAACTTTTTAACAACTTGTTCAGATACATCACTTGCTCAACCCACGGTGACTGGGTGGGCTGGGCTGGTTAAAAAGCTGCCTCCCTGCAGATCTATGGATCCACAGGGAGGGGCTAGCTAGGACTGGACCCTGGATTTCAAGGTCACAGAGTTCTGAAGTCCTGGTCTTACCTCTCCATCTTACATGGCCCTGACCAAAGAAGCTATTCCAGAAGATAGCTGTAAAGAAAATCCAACAGGGAATATTGCTTTTGCAGCAGGATTAGTCAGCAAATGGACCAAAGGACATGGTTGGAATAATGGTTCAGACTTGATTTAAATTTTAGTCTCTATGATTTGACTTCCCCCTCCATTTACAGAATTTAACACTACCCAACACTAACAGGATGAGAGTAGAAACATTTTCCGTGATAATAAGACACCAGCCATCCTAGGACCCCAGCAGGCACAGAGACTGTTACCCTATGGTGTGACAGGTCAGCAGCCAGCCACGAAGCCCTCACGGGGCACATCTAAGAACTAGAAGTGGCTCTCTCTCTCCTCCTGATTTGAAAAAAAGGAAGACAGCTGACCATCATGTAATTTCTCACAACTGCTGGACAGAAACAAAACCTGTGCCCAGGGGCACCAGGTGACGTGTGGTTCCATGTGGTGAGCAAGATATCACCACAGTCCCTAAATGAAAATTCTTCCAAGTGCAAGCTGAATCTTTTCCCAAGCTGCTGTACCTATCACAGGAGCTTAAGGTCCTCTCCTCCCCAGTAAGAGGGAGGACACTAGCCATGAATTTCAAATGAGACCAGGGCCAACAAAATGAAAATACCAGTGTGTTTCCTGCTCATCCATAGACAAGCTGCAAGAGGGAAACTGAGCCATTCTGACATCCCCATGAGAGTGGCAGACTAGAAGACATAGGTTTGTGTTTTCTCTCGGAGATGATCTGACTCCATTTCAGAAAACAAAGCAGAGAGGACATAGGTTCTCCAGTGACACAGGATGAGACAAGGCTGCTGAGTGGCTTTGGAGAGGCAGAGAGAGGGTCCTAGCTGGCGTCAGCAGTGCAGTCTGGGCTGGAGGGCTGGCCTCAGTGTAGTAAGAGGCTGTGATGGGCAAAACCCAGGGCTGGAACAGGGCAGGGGACAGATGAATGCCAGAAATATTCTAGCTATGATTTTCCAAAGTCCCTAGACTGCAGGGAAAAATGGGTTAAGAGATGACTAATAAAAACACATACCAACCAAGTTAGCTGAAGTGCCTGAGAACAAGGTCACTGCAGAAATTAGTCCTAAGACAAAGGCGAGAACTGTCTCTGATTTGCCAGGCAAACGACAGCATATCCAGTGCTAAGAGCTGTTCATGGAGGCACACATTCACACCACTCAGGGAAGGTTAAGGCCAGCCATTCTTATTCTACCCGGGCCACTACCCAACAGTGTGGACAACCAGGATGTGTGTGGGCGTGTCCACAGAGGGCGGAAAATGCTCCAGGGCCATAGCTTTGGTCCTGGAAGATTTAGGAAAGACAGAAAGGCACATGTGGGTGACCATTTTTTGTTGTTGTTTTTTGTTTTTAAAGCTCCAAGTGATAAATCATTATTTTGACTTGTTTTCAACGTACCTTTCTCCCCCATGAAAAGAGAAAAATTAAAATATAAACTTCATATTTATTATTTTACATTCAAGTTAAACTCCCACAGGAGGGGTGCTACACACAATTTCGGGCCACATAAAGCCATTTATTACTTTGGTGCCTTTTTTTTTTTTCTGTTTTTTGTTTGTTTGTTTTACTTCTCATGATGGAAGAATTCAACCCTCTTATTTTTTAAAAACAGGTACATCATCCCAACTCTAATCCTATTTATGGACACACACAAGCACACACAATTTCAAAAATCTCTATGTAGAAAAATAAAGGATAAACATTATCCACCTATTTTAGACTGGGTAATGGTACTTTTATGTACATAAACTCTTCTTTACTGTGTCACCGCTCTCCTCTGCGGTGTGATCTAAAGATCTAGGGAGAGAGAAGAGAAGGCCACAGGGCTGCAGAAAAGCTACACTCCCCTAGAGACAGGAGAAAAAGCAACTTCTCATTCTCCTTCCCAAGTTTTTCCCACCTCCCATCATCTGGGACATTCCCACAGACAGCCTTCCCGGCAGTGGAGGCTGGTCCTCCCTTTCTCGGGCACCAGGCAGGGAATGAAGGGCCCGCCCGGCGCGAGCACCCTGCAGGACAGGGCCTGGGTATGAGAACAAGGGGTGAGGCAGGAACAAAAGATGCTGGGACCACTTCCCACTGCCCGTTCCTTTAGTACAGAGTTCGGCTCTCCAGCTGCCGCTTCGTAAGGAAATACTTGAAGAACTCATAGACGGACCAGGAGATGGCGGTGGAAGGCATCTGGTAAATGACTCGAGCGTGGATACCTTTGAAATAGCCAGCAAGGCCGTTGAGCTGGTAGACCGTCCTGAAGGCATTGGCCATGCCCGTCAACCGACCATTGACATTGGCCAGGGAGAGCGCCATGTTTTCCTGCGTGTTGAGGAGGGTCTTGCAGACATCCAGTGGGGTGGTGGCAGCTGCAGCCAGCGCACCGGCCAGACCGCCCGAGATGATGTGAGACTGTGGGTTGTAGTTTCGCAGTGGGTTGACCTTCTCCTGCAGGAACTCGTAGGTGATGAAATGGATAGACTGGAAGGGTATGTTCATGGTCAGCTGTGTGGTATAACTCCTGTAGAAGGCCCCCAACCCCTCGGTCCGCCACACCGTCCGGATACAATTGAGGGCTGACTGGTACTGTGAGTTGTACATCTGTAAGCGTTGCTTCACCACTGTGTCCAGGTCGGGAGGAGCAACCGGCAGGCAGGTGGTTGGTTTGGCCCCCGTCCCAGATGGGAAGCCAACCAATAAAGAGAAACGAGCATGTTAGAACACACACTAGTGACGGGCACCAAGACAGCACACACATAGCCCCAGCCAAGAAGCCACGGAGGGCCAGCTCCAGGCAGCCTGCCTCAACTTTTCTAACTCCAGGCCCTGTGCCAGGAAAGTGGGTACTTGTAAAAAAAAAATTCCCCGTCTGAAGTTTGAATAAGAGATCACCCCCAAATCAGGCATCCACGGTGGGCTAGATTAGATGACCTGATCCCCAAGGTCCTAGCCTTCTACACACTCCCCACACTCCCCCCTCTCCCTGACCTGTCCTTGCCCCATCTATTAAGAGTGTCCCTGAGCTGAGCATGGTGGTACATGCCTTTAATTCCAGCACTTAGGAGGCACAAACAGGAGGGTCCCTATGAGCTCAAAGCCAGCCTGGTATACACAGAAAGTTCCAGGCCAGCTAAGACTACACAGTCAGATCGTGTCTCAAAACAAAACACTAACCTACAAGAGCATCCCTGACTTCTCTGATTTTGATCTGTATCAAGGTTCATCTGGGACAACACTAGAACTCTGTCCAACCTGAGTGACACCCCCGAGTGCAGATCCTGTCTTTAAGACAAAATAATCAAACGGTTTGTAGCCCAGAGAAAATGAAGTGTGCTCCCTAGGATTTTAATGGCATCTACATGATGTATTCCATCTTTAAGTAGGGACCTGATCGAGGCAAGAGTAACGCCAAGAGGGGAAGGGAAATGAGCCTCAAGTAAATTATTTAAAAAAAAAAAAATGTGTTTGGCTGAAGACATGGTTCAAGTTAAGAGCACTAGCTGCTCTTCCAGGACTCAGATTTGCTTCCCAGCACTGACAAAGAGGCTCACAACTGTCTGTAACTCCAGTTCCAGGGGATCTCATACTCTCTTTTGGCTTCTGTGGGTACCAGGTACACATAAATACATGCAAACAAAACCACCCATACACATAAAAAAAAAAACATTTTTTAAATATAAACATCCAGGTGTGGTAGCATTTACTTATAATCCCAGAAACCTGGAAGCTGGGGCAGGTGAATAGAGATTTCGAGGCCAGCCTGGGCTATGTCTCAAAAGCAAACAAACACAAATACTGTTTAAATAAACTCTTTGCTTGGTTAACATTGATCATGTGATTGTTGCTGTCAGGTCCCAGGATTAATAGTTTTTGTAAAAAGAAAAAGAATTCCAAGATATATACAGCTAGTTGGTCCCTCTATATTGTGATTCTGAATCCCCAGATTTAAGTAACTGTACATCAAAATAACAGGAAAGAATGTTCTTCACCAAACATATGCAGACTTTTTTCTAGCATTATTCCCTAAGGGACATCATACAACACCTACTTACATAGTACTGAAACTACGAGTCAGCCAGAGATGATTTAAGTATGCATAAGGACACCAAGTGGGTTTCAAATACTGCCCTATATTATAAGGGGACCCCACAAATAAAAAAAAAAAGAAAAGGTAGCTCCCTAAAATGGCTACATGTTAATTTTAGAAGAAGACAGGGTTATTTCTATATATTCACTTTTTCTTGAAATTTTCCATAATCATTACCAAAAAAAAAAAAAAAAAAAAAAAGGCAGGGTATGGTGATGCATGCATGCCAATAATCCCAGTGCTCAGGAGGCTGAGGCAGGAAGGTTTGGAGTTTGGGCTAACCCGAGTCTCAGACAGAGTTCCAGGGCATCCTGGATTACATGGTGAGATTCTATATTAAAGGAGGGGGTGTAACCCACAATGAGTGAGATGGGAACAGTTCCTCTAAATTTGTGACTACAAAAAATGAACAGTATACACATGCCTGCTGTGCACACCCTTGAACACACAGGTTGTACAGTAGTGAAAACCCTGCAAAGCGATCCCCAAGTATCCTGCCGCAGCAGGTATGGGGCAGGGCCTGAAGAGCAGTTTCTAACTCCTCCTAGGGTGCTGCAAGTAGGCAGACAGCTCTGCTTAGCTGTTTCCACAGCAGGAAGCAACCAGAACCCCGGTGATCCCTGGCTGTCTTGAGACCCCCCAAGTAATGTATAAAGAATGGGGTCTTCCTGTAGGCTCTGATGAAGCCAGTCCTTGCCCACCTTCTGCCCCCAGCTCCTCTGGCCTCTCCACCTATATCCCCCACTGTCCCTCCCTGGTGCTGTGGGACATTACCTTCTGCCGGATTCATTACTGCATCGTGGAGTAGGGTGGCCATACCCCCAGCTATCCCTGCAAAACAAACTCCAAAAAATCAACAGCTGCCTCCTGGTGTTCTGGAAAGTTCCTTGAACTTACAGTCAGATGCACTCTTCTAAGACTCAAAAGTGACTAGCAACTCAGCCCTGGTGAGCGGTTGTAGAAATATTGAATAGCAACACAGAGCACTGCTATACACATCTCAGAGACTTTTTCTTTCTTGTAAGTCAACCATGGGAAAGGTTAGAGCCCAGAAACTACACACCAGATGTTTCCCACTGTCTAGATGTTAATTCCCTTGTCTTGAGCCCTTAGGTACAGATATCTCTCTATGCCCTGAAGTTGAGGCTATTGAAGGGGATAACACCATGCATATGGCTGGCTGCCTTTCTTGAAGCCCAAGCACTCTTAGGACTGGCCTTGTGACTGAATTTTATCTCAGGTCTCCCCCAGCCTGGCTTTGAAAGCCTGAACCAGCCCTGGAATTTCTGCTTCTGGCTTCCTAGTGCCTTCCACTACAGTGCAGCTGCCTGCTAATTACAATGACCTGAGGGAGGGATGAGGGACAGATTCTAAGTCACCTCCCAGGAAGGCACCTAGGGGTTCCTACCTACTGCACACATAGACACAAAGGCAATTATCCCCAGAAAGGTGATCTCGACCACAGCATTTAGCACAATGCCACAGGGATAGCAATGGACTGATTGCCTCTGTGAAGGGCATGGCTCTTGGTCACAGTCACAGCTGAAAAGCCAGAGTGTCAGCAATGCAGCTGAATATGCTGGTTTCTAAGAATGGCTGATGGAAGGGTGCTACTCTGTCCTGGGAAGAACAAAAGCAAAGGAGAGCTTTACCATTGACCACATCCACTCCTATCGTCTGTCGTTCTACTACCCATAGTCCCCTCCCACCCACTAAAAAGCCTATTAAATTCCCACCCCATGCTACTACCAGGCCTGGCTGATTGGCTCCTGCCTTATATACAAATTGCCGCCAAATGCCCAACCCTCATCCACCCAGTCCTCCCTGGATCAACGACAGGAGACTAGTTCGGCCCTGGCTTGCAGAAAGATGCAACTCAGACACACGGAGGAGGCTGGGGGGGGGGGGTCAAAGGCCCGAATCTCCTGCAGCTTAAAGTGGGGGAAGGCCTTCCGCAGTGGCACGAGTCCTCTGTCAGCATAAAACGTCTTGACCTTTCCAAGCTTAGTTAGATCCTGGTGCTGGAGAGACCTGTTGTACCAGTTTTTAAATAGTCTCAAAGAAGCTGTCCTTTTCTGTGCTTTGTTTTGCATCCAGCATTCAAGAGAATTTTTTCCTATGACCATTAATTGTTCTGAGTGGTTTTTGTAAGGAAAAAAAAAAGCGCTCATACAACAATAAATACCAAACACCTCTACCACTAGCTTCCCCCAGAGAAAGAGGGAATGAATAAAACAGTGTGTGTGTGTGTGTGTGTGTGTGTGTGTGTGTGTGTGTATTCACGTGACCCTAGAGTTCTCTGTTCCTGAACAAGCTGCCGAAGGAAGCTGAAGTCTGCTGGGTCCAGGGGAGGAAGGCCCAGGGAGCAAGCACCGAAGAGAGGAGCTTCCTAGCTCCAGACAAACGCTTTCAAAATACCATTAGCTAGGTGGCTGTTTCCATGGTGGCTGAAAACGTCATTTAAAGTCCTTTTCATGTTTTCGTAGCAGGCAAAATACATGGCATGTGCGGGCCCTGCACCCATCACCATCACATTCAGACCCTTCAGGGGCCTCCAGAAGCCTTCCGTTTGTATGATCTTCTTGAGGGCGCCATAGATGCTTGTATACTTGGCTTTGGGATCTGGATTCAAACTCTGCATTCGTGTCTGTGGGAGGCAGAAAATATGTATGAATAGGGGAATTAATATGTATGGCAATGATAAGGGGAGAAAAGACAACCCAGAGAATAGAAGGAGAGCTGGAGAGATGGCTCAGCCGTTAAAGGCTAGGCTCACAACCAAAATTATAAGAGAATAGAAGGAAAAGGGTTGGTTTTCATGACTTCTTGGTGAGGGGGGAAAAATATGAAAAGTGCTCTGTCCTCTATAATTCTCCGCAGCCTTGCACCTGAAAAGCCTTCAGAACTTCCAGAAAAGACAAGCAAAGATGGGGGGTGGGGTACATAGGTAGGAGAATATAAAGAAGCTCCCTACTGAGCTCTGGCTTCTGTTAGAGCTTTTAACCACTCTGGGCCTTGAGATCGTCAATGAAAAAACATATTTATTATGAGCAAGCATTGAAACAACACCTTTGAAAACCCTTAATGAGCTCAGACTCTGTGAGAGGGTAGATCCTAAAGTCCCCCACTAAGGATACCAAAATTCATGAACATTTAACCTTGTATAAAATGCTATGGTGCTTTCAACCTATGCAACTGTCCCCTGACGATATATAATGAAATGAAAGTGCCACACACAGGCCACGAGATGTGGCTCCATTGGTAGAATGTTTACCTATCATGCTCAAAGCTTTGGGTTTGAGCCCCAGCACCATATACATAAACCATGCATGGTGGCCATGCCTGCAATCTTAGCACTCAGGATATAAGAATCAGGAGTTCAAGGCCATCCATACTCATCTACATAGCAAGTCCAAGGCCAGTCTAGGCTACACGAGACCCTGTCTCCACAGAGCCAAACAAATAACCAATGATAAGAAATCAACGAACAATTAAAAGCTGCCACCACCACCAAAAAAATGTTATAAAAGTTATTAGAGTGCACTCTCCAGGGACTAATGACAAGAACTAATGGTCTGTGATTGTTTAATACAGGTGCACATTTTTTCTGAATTATGATACATCTGGCTGCAGCTGCTAATCTCAAGAAAGCCAACTGAGTTATCAGCATCCTTCTGGTCTACTCTGGTGCCCAGCATCCTTCTGGTCTTCTCTGGTTCCTAACATCCTTCTGATCTACTCTGGTTCCCAGAATCCTTCTGATCTAGTCTGGTTCCCAACATCCTTCTGATCTACTCTGGTTCCCGGCACCCTTCTCGTCTACTCTGGTTCCCAAGTCTTGTGCACCTTTCTACACCTGAACCTCTGGGTCTTGACAATTATTCCTCAGGCTCTATTTTTATGCAACAACACTCAACAAGTTAGGCCTTGCTCTCAAACTTCCTGTGCACAGAATGGTCTTTGTGAGGAGAGGCCATGGCTTCCCTGGCTCTGTTGGCCTCCAATACTCCCAGAGATATGAAAGGTTAATTTTGTTATTTCAACCTAGCTAGGCTGAGATACCCACATACCTGATCAAACATCAGTGTACTCTACATGATCCTCTAATGTTTGTTCTGTTTTGTTTTGTTTAGATAAGGTTATCAATTAAAGTCAGTTATCTCTAACTAAAGCAGGTTACTTGTGTGACGTTGGTAGCCGTCCAGCATGCTGGCCTGCCCTGCAGGTTAGGAATGTGCAGCCCCTACTGTGACGTGAACCAAATTTGTTCCTTAAAACAAATCTTTACAGATAGAGACAGAGATCTGTGCACACATCCTTTTTGGCCTTTTTTCCCTGGAGAGTCCTACATACAATATCAGTAAGAGATACTCGAAACACCTGCCAAATAGCGGGTGCATGTTCCTTTCTTCTCTCCTTCCTCCACACACCCCAACCTCAGCCTAGAGGAGGGGAATCTTCAACCTTTGGAGGCAGTATCCTTTAATTCCCAAGCAAAACCATATATAACACCCAATGTATTAACTGAAAACGAGACCAAGGGTTCCACTGTGGTACTTCCCTTCCACTCCTCCAAATAGCCCCACCACCCACCCCCATCCCCAGATGAACACTGTAAAAACCAACAGCCTAAATTAGGGCCATTTTCAGGTTTCAGAACTTTCTGGCCCCTAAAATCACCAAGAACATGGACATATTTTTTGCCAAAACCCAACAACATCAGTTACCATTTCCTCCAAAAAAAAAAGTTCATTTTTAATGCTTAATAGAAAGAAAGAGTGTGGGAGGAGGCCTAGTGGTACAAGTCTGTAATCCCAGCTACTCAGGGAGCTAAGAAATGAAGATCCAAAGCTCAAGTCCACCTAGAACTGTATAGTGAGTTCAAGGACAGCTGGGCAGCTAGTGAGATGCTGTCTAGAAATAAAAATGGAAAAGAAGCTGTGACTATAGATCAGTGGTAGAACACCTGCCCACATGCACTAAATTCGGTCCTTGGCACCACAGAAAAATAAGGAGGAAACTGACCCACTGTGTTCCTGATAAAAGAGCCAGGTGAAATGTCGCCTTATTAGAGATTTTCCTTTCCCCTCCCCCACCCTGAGGAAACTATTGCTCAGGATACCCCTGAGTGTAGACAGCCCAGAATCCCTACCTCTTCACATATTATATGTCTGTCGATTGCCAGTTTTATGAGAGTCCATTATAAGCAAACAAAACCAAGGGAAAGACGTCCCTGGGAGAGTCTGACAATCACAGGGATAGTGGAATCATGGCTATCGCTGTGTTTGGCTGCTGGAGATGTCTGGGTATGCAGAGAGTCCATGTGGGCCACAAGAGGCCACTGTCCCTGGAAACTGAAGATGCTCTCTGGCACTAACTTGCAGAAGCTTTGAAATCACTCAAAAGTTTCAAGTAAGTGAGGTCTTGTCTTTCACCAGGCTGTGTCTCCTGTGGCTTTCGATGACTAAAAAGCCAAAATCTCCACCCCACACATGGCGCAATGCACTGTTTGTGACCCGGGGACTTGGCAGCACAGGACTGGGGTGGATTCAGATCTTATGGCTCTTGTTGCAACCCTGGTCAGTCGGTTCATCTCTCTAAGCCTGAGTTCATTCCCTGGGAGAGTGGCAGGGAAAATGAACCGGCATCGTGTCTATTTCCACCTCTGTAGTTAGCGATTAAGGAGTCACCGTGGGGGGGGGGTATAATGTGGATCCAGGATATAATCTTCCAGAGATCTGAGACACCACCACCCCAGCTCTCATTCACTGCAGGGACTCGGGCTTGGTAGATGTACTAATCCTGTGTACCCAATAAATATGTGCTGAATGAATGGCTACAGGAATTGATGATGCAACTTAGAATGCTAGGTGGGGTGAAAGGATTCTGCAACGCCTGGCCCACCTCCCCTGAGCACAAGCCATATGTTTGGGGACTATACCTGCCCTTCACTAACACCACCATTTATGTCAAGTCTACACTCTATTGTGCCCTTCACGCTGTGGTGTGCCTGGCTGAACAAGCCTGTCCCTGAAGACTAATCTGGGCTTATGAAAGGAGTGACTCAGGCCAGGCTTTGTCCAGGGCGTTGGCCCCAATGCCTCCTAAAGGATCTGTTGCTGACTTGTGCCTCTTTTCAGGGAATAAAGGACTGGTTTGCCCCATCCACCCGGGGTGGGTTAGCATCTTCTCCTGAGTTCCTGGCCCAGGGCAGGGTGCTGTCAGGGTTTTTGAGGACTTCCTTGGATCCAAGCAGGCAGAAACCACAGAGGACAAGGCAAGAAGAGGGGACAACAAGGTGAGAAAGCAGAGACAGCAGGAGTAGCTGTTGCAGGTCCTCGGGTTAGATCAGATGCTGGCTCTGGCAGGCCCAAATGGGCTCTGGTTTATCATGTTACCTCTCTGGTCCCCAGCACGTTTGAAGAGCAAAGTGGGGGGAGGGAGAATGAATCAGCAAGATCTGTGGATACCACCTTAACACGTACACATTCTAAACATTTGTATTTCCTAATTCCTCTGCTGATTCTAATCCCTACAGGGCGGGAGACCCATGAAAAGACACTTTAGGCCCCGCCCAGCCCCTGGTACTTTCTAATGACATCCTTGGCAGTATGGCATTCACTGCTAGTCCTACAAGGGTGGGGGAGGGGGATTGAGGGATGGCAGTGGGCACAGAGCCAGGCCGGGTGGATAACCGTGAGGCAGGCCCATGGTGTAGGCTTCAGAACCAACCCAAGGTGGCTTAGGATGGCATGTGGCTGTCCTCAGCTGGAATAATCCCCCAGAGAGCTGCTGGGAAACACTGGGGTGGCTGTCAGTCAACAACTATACCTCCTTCACCCACTTTATACATGCAAGCTCATCTCACTGGCCTTTCCTTTACATACATTCCTTGTCAGGTCATTGGACACAGCATCAACACTAATGCTTCCCAGGGACGTCTGGCATTGGCTCTGCATTCCTATCCCCTTTTCTGATAGAGATGTGGCGGCTATGCCCAACACTATTGAACCTAAGTGCACCAACCTCCTAAGAAACAGTCAGTCAATGGGGTATCTCTGCAGTTTGGCAGATGTTGCTGTCCTCAGGGAAGGCTCGATGACACTCACCTGGAGTACAGCAGGTGGCTGTGTGCATGGAGCAGGGCCCAGTTAGGCCCACACCAAAGAGCAACCACCCAGGGCCAGACTCTGGAAATGGAGAGAAGGAAAGACAATGGGGAAAACAAAAAAGAAAGCATGTGATGGAAGGGAAGAGAATAACCATTGAGGTGTCCAGAGGTGACATGAAAGCTGGCATAGCTTGGGAAGAAAGGCTGGAGTCGGGTGGGGAAGGAGTGAGGCAGAAAGAAGGCTGCAAGAGATGGAGGGAAGGTGATCAATTTAACCTCTTGCTTTTAAATTTTCAGTAACTCTGTCTATAAAATGCAAACGAGGGCTGGAGAGATGGCTCAGCCGTTAAAGACTAGGCTCACAACCAAAAATATAAAATGCAAACGAAAGAGCTGATACTCTTTATTCTCATGGGCCAGAAGAGGAGAAAAAGTGAGTTTTAAAAGCAAC